GACGAACCGCAGCTCGATGGTGTTCTGTCTGAAAAGAGAGAGAGAGAGAGACAGGCGTTGAGAGAGAGAGAGAGAGAGAGAGAGAGAGAGAGAGAGAGAGAGAGAGAGAGAGAGAGAGAGAGAGAGAGGAGTGGAGTAGGTTGGGCGGAGTTGATTTATAGGGTGACGTAAGTAATGTGGGTGGGGATGAGGAGGATGAATTTGGATGGGAATCAGGACAAGATGAGTTCGAGAAGATAACCGTGTGGATAAAGGGAGGGCGATGCCAGAATCGGATTGTAAGGAAAGGTTGGGATATTCGACGCACAACGAAAAAGGGGGAGAGAGGAGGGAGGGGGGGGGGAAAGAGGAGCAGGGGAGGGAGGGGAAGAGAGAAAGAACAGAGGTGAAGGGGCACAGAGAGAAAGTAGAGGGAGGGGGGGTGGAGGGAGAGCTATGGCTGGATTCGTGCAAATACCCGAAGTGGTTCATGAGGGGAAAATGCGCGCTCGGGTCTATATGACCCGTGATGATTTACAACACGTTGTAGATGTCCTGAAGGCTGGACTCTTGCAATTAGAGAAGAATCCACAGTGCGTGTACTCACGCCGACGTGGCAGTTCGCCGCGATCAACACTTGCCTATGGTTCGGGGGGGGGGGGGGGGATGTCCTCACCCACTTCTCGCCTTTCTCCTACATTCAGTGGAAGCTCTTTTTCGACCAGAGCGGCGACAGGTCAGGGGCAGCAGAACCAGCAGCAGCAGCAGCAGCGCGTGCAAGTAGGGCAGGCTTCTGCACCGACGACGGAGAATAACCTGTCGCCACGTGGCAGCCTCAGCAGAGGCAACAGCAGCTCAGCGGAGTCCAAAGGAGGAGGAGGGGGAGGGGGAGGGGGAGGGGGAGGAGTATCCAGAGCTGCTGTGAATGTGCTTCAACAGGGGATGGCGTGTGTGACACTTGATCGACCAAGGGCGACGTTGGGTGAGGGAGGAGGTGGGAGAGTGCGGCAGGGTGGGATGGGATCTGGATCTGGGGTAGTAAGCAGCAGCTCAGGGCTAACCGTGAGCTCTGGGATAGCAACAGGCGTTGGAGCAGGTAGGGGAGGAGGAGGAGGAGGAGGAGGAGGAACAGCAGCTGCAGCACCTGGAGGGGGAGGAGAAGGGGGATGGGGAGGAGCAGCAGGAGGAGGAGGAGGAGGAGGAGGAGGAGGCGTTTTTTCCAATGGAGAGCAGCATCAGCATTTCCATCAACTGCAGCTTGGTCAACGGTCGGGATCGAGCTCGGGCGCAGGTCAGGGTTCGTCTGCCACGGAGCCATTCCCACCGCAAGGTCCGCGTCCCGACTCTGGGGGTAGGGCGGGAAGAGTGGGAGGAGGCCAGACTCAGACTCAGACTCAAGTGATCCCGGCACAGAGGTATCCTGGTCCGCCACGTGGGACTTCATCCCAACTGAAGTTGGCAGACCACGTGGCTCCTCCTCCTTTGTTAATCCCTGGTGGACATCAAGCAGGGCTAGGAGGAGGAGGAGGAGGAGGAGGAGGAGGGTACCGAAGTCCACGCTCTGGGTTTCCAGCTGCCGGAGGATCAGGGATACCTCCAGCTTCTCAGCCTTTTCTTCCTCCTCCTGTGGATTCGCCTTATCCTCCTGGCGCCGGGGTTATGGGTATTACCAACACTAGTAAAGGGGTGGGGTTGAGTGTTGTGAGAGCGAGTGGTGGTTCAAGTGGAGGAGGAGGAGGTGGTTGGTCGATGAGCAACCCACAGCCGAGCAATCCGGCGATGACAGACAGCGTCTCACCGTCCGGCTTTACGGCCACCACACGTTCTCGCGGACCGGCTTCTCCCGTTTGGAATCAGCGATGGCTGACCATCCCCTCAGAACACAACAGAGAGAGTGTCACTGCTCTCTTGTACGCCCCCTGTTTTGATGATCTTGTCTGTGGAGGAGACGACGGCTATGGCGGCTGTGGAGGAGAAGACGGCTATGGCGGCTGGCTGGTAAGCTCTTCGAACAAGTTGTTGAACCTGTGGCAGTGCAGCTCCTCTTCTTCTCCTGCATCTTTCCCCTCCCCCTCCGTCGGCTCGGCCTCTCATCAAGCCGGGGTTGGGGGGGGATTGTCGACCAAACCCTGTCTTGAACTGATGCATTCTCAAGCGACCGATTTCCTCATGGATAGCATGGACTCCGATCCAACGGCTAAGCTCATCTTGTCCTGTTCGACCCATCAGGGAGACGGCGGACTGTGCGTCTGCCTGCACTCCACTGCGGGGGATACCTTCTTCGGCAGCCGAGGGTTTATTCGAATAGTAGACAGGGGGGCTGGGAACGCGAAGAGGGAGGGCAGCATGAGACGTGGCAGTCCTAGGTTCCTCCACGTGTCGTCTTTACGGCCATTAGGCGTTTTGCTGAGGGAGTCGTTGGCAGCGACGACTGGTGGTGATGTGCTGGTGTATGAGCTGTCTGCTGCCTCCGTGAGCCAGAAGGCAGTCCAGCAACCCAAAGCATTCTGGAGGGCGCACGACTTCCCCATCTCCTCTCTCCATAGGAGCTCCTTCTCTTGTGTCATGATTACGGGGGCAACTGATGGGTGTATAAGACTGTGGGACGTGCGGTCGAAGCCATCGGCCCCTGTGCGACAATACACGCACAGGAGGTGTGTGACGGGACTCTGCATGCTAGATGCACAGACCCTGGTCAGTTGCAGCGCCGACTCTTCTGTCAATCTTTGGGACCTGCGGGGGGCAGCTTCGGGGGGTCCCACGCCGGGCCCAGGAGGTCCACGCCCTGTCTTCTCCACGGCCGTCGATGGCACTCCTGTTGTTGCCATGGCACTCAACGCTCTCAAAGATACGCTGGCAGTATCTACTGCCCAAGGGGTCTATTGTCTGGATCTGGGACAAGGACGAGGAGGACCGGCGGGAGGAGGAGGAGGAGGAGGGGGGGGTGACGTCAACAACAATAGTGGAATGGTGTCTCGTCTCTGGCCATGTCCTTCAGGGGGCCCTTTTGCGAGTCTGACTTGGAACGAGAGGACAGGGGACATCTACTTGGCAGCGGCGGACGGGTCCATCTGCGTGTACGGGAAGTCGATGCCGCCGCGCATCTGAGCGACTGTTCACGCCATCATCTATCTATCTATCTATCTATCTATCTATCTATAGATATATATAGATGTAGATATAGGACTTGTAAAATCAGTTTGATGAGTGGGAAACAAACAGCCGTCGCTGGTCAGGGCATCATCTGCTTTTTTCGTTGACTTCAACGCTCGTGGTGCCCGGTCAGGGATGTTAGGTCGAACTTACACCGCTGTCCCGACTGACTGATATCGGACGGTGTCAAACAGGCGATGATGATGAGCGGGCTGGACGGAACGGCCGATATGTGATTACTTCTTGGATCGGACGGCCTAGATTTGTTCACATCTGGATCGAACGGCGGAGATTTGTGTAGATGTGGATCGAACGGCCGAGATTTGTTTACAGGTGGATCGAACAAGAGAGATGGATTTGTTTACATTATATGGATGGAACGGTCATCTTGATCGAATGGCCGAGAGTTGCTTACAGAGCTGGATCTAGATCTAACGGCTTTGGGACTGGTTTACATCTGGATTGAACGGCCGAGATTTGTTCACAGCTAGATCAGACGACCGAGATAAATTTGTTTATGTATGGATCGAACGGCCATCTGGATCCAGCGGCCATCTAAATCAAATGGCCGAGATTTGTACGGAGCTGGATCGAAAGGCCGAGATTCGTTTACATCTGGATTGAACGGCCGGGATTTGTTTGCATCTGGATCGAACGGTTGAGATTGATTTATATCTGGCTCGAACGGCCGAGATCGATCGTCTCCCGGTTCTTCTCTGCGCCGGAGATATCTGCTTGGGGATCAGTCTTACCTGATTGGATAAGGCCGTTGATGGAGTACTCACACTAGCACTGTCTCAACTGTACCTGACTGCATTTTCGACGGGACCTGGATGTATGTGACCGCAATTACATCCAGAGGAAGGGGAGGCGCGCCGGTAAATCGGCGCTAGGGTGTTTAACGGGTATGTGGAGACAGTTGATGGTGAACCCCATGGTTCCTGGAGCACTGTCTGCCGTTGTATGTACAACAGGTTTTTTTTTCCTTCTTCTTCTTTTTTTTTGTTTTTTGTTTTGTGTGTGTGTGTGTGTGTGTGTGTGTGTGTGTGTGTGTGAGAGAGAGAGAGATAGAGAGAGAGAGAGAGATTTAAAAGACCAATTTACGGTATTTTGCAGGGGATTGCCTCTTGTTTATTGAAGAAATTGGAATTGAAAACATTTGTTCTTCTCGCAGAACTGCATCTCATATCTCGATTTTTTTAGTTGTTCTGTTGTTTCTTTTTCTTCTTTTTCTCCGCATCCCCCTCCTCCTGTCTTCTTCTTCCTCTTCGTCGTCGTCGTCGTCTCCTTCTTCACCTCTCTGCATTCGCCTCCACCCGTACCTTTTTTTTTCCCTCCGCTGCATCCTCCTCCTCCTCCTCTGCTTTTTCGTTTTCTTGTTCGCGTTTCTGCATCCGCCTCTACCCTCACTCTTTCTTCTTTCTCCTCCTCCTCCTCCTCCTCCTCCTCCTCCTCCTCTTCTTCTTCTTCTTCTTCTTCTTCTTCTTCCACCTTTCTGCATTCACCTCCACCCTTACTTTGCCCGACTCGCTTTTTTTTTCTTCTTTTTTTTAGTTTTTTTTCTTTTTCTTTTCATTGTAACCTTCACATGGGAAAATGATGAGCACGGTACAAAAGTGTCACGTCTTCGACACATTTTATTATTTCCCCCTGGTCTGCTGAACAATGTCTCCCTCTCGAGCTCCAGATGTGCGGCGCTATTTGTGTTTGCCAGGGAAAAATGTTAGAGAACTTAGAGGTATGCCTATGCTCTGTATTTTTCTTGTATGCCTGTGCGCTGTATTTTTCTTTCTTTCTTTCCGTTTTGGGTCGTTGCATAAATGAGTGACAAGTGAAAAGTCGGAGGGAAAAAAAAAACCCAGAAAAAACGGAGAATTCAATTGTCCTTTCACAGCTAAAGCTTGGAACTTGGAATGTGCATCTCTCTCTCTCTCTCTCTCTCTCTCTCTCTCTCTCTCTCTCTCTCTCTCTCTCTCTGTGTCTGTGTATTTTTTTTATTATTTTTTTCCCTGTCCCTTCTCCTGCTTCTTCTTTTGTGTACTCTTTTTTTTCGCTCATTTTGTGCCACCAACTGTCAGTTCCTTGCCGTCTTGCACCGCTTGTCACTGTCTGTCACACTGTTTGTCACACGCTTTGAGTGTCGCAGTTTGGCCCTCTGTCATTGCTACCGTCTTCCCCTGAACACAACGCATCCTCATTTTGGCTGTATCCGACCGGAATATAGCTTGTATACATTCATTTTTAGGGTGCGTTATGTTCGGGGGAAGACGGTAGTTGTGCTCCTTGTCTGTACATTTTCACTAGGGATGCTGGGCCCAGTTCGTGGCACGCGCTGCTCACTTGGAGCATTGTTTCAGGGGCAAAAAAAAAGACTATTCAAGAAAAGAAAAGAAGTTGTGCTTTTTGTCAATGTTTGGGATGATGTCAGTGTCCGTGAGTCCCCGAGTATACGGGCATACTTTTGCATGTACTGTTTGACTGGCATCTAGATGGAATAGCGGACAGATTCATCCAGAATGGGGCATGTCATTGGAGGTCAAATGCACCCAGGAGAATGTTCTCGTATGAGTACACTATGAATGGGAGGATGCAAATGGCGTTGGATGATTGGAGTTGAAAAGCCTGAGACGAAA